GATAGATAGATAGATAGATAGATAGATAGATAGATAGATAGATAGAGCGCAATGTGAGGCAGCAGCCAAAACAGTTAATACAATCCTTGGTTGTATAAACAGAGATATAGAATCAAAATCACATGAAGTATTAGTACCGCTTTATAAAGCCTTAGTAAGACCACACCTGGCATACTGCATCCAATTTTGGTCCCCATATTACAAAAAGAAGTTGAGACTTTGGAAAACGTGCAGAGAAAAGCAACTAGGAAAGAACAGTTGCAGGAACTGGGTATGGCTAGTCCAGAGAAAAGAAGGACTTGTGGGGACATGATAGCAGCATTCCGGTATTTATCAATTTATTTTCCAAAACACCAGAAGGCAAGACAAGAAATTATGGATGGAAACTAATCAAGGAGAGAAGCAACCTGGAATTAAGGAGAAACTTTCTAACAGTGAGGACAATTAACCAGAGGAACAGCTTGCTGTCAGAAGTTGTGAGTGCTTCATCAGTGGAGGGTCCCCTGCATGAACCAGGAAGGGAGGGGGGGGGTTGGACTAGAAAACCTCCAAAGTCCCTTCCCTTTCTGATTGATACAAACTAGTCCTAAGATCAGAGAACCGTCCTTAATCGTGTTCTGCACTCCTATAATTGGAAGGGAAATATCTGATACGAAAGCTATTCTAGAGAGATAGGAAACAAAAAAAAGTGTTCTGTTGCTATGTCTAAAACAAGTGGACAGAGTTGGGAAGTTCCTGACATTCTTGAACCCCAGCACCCCTATTTAGCATGGTAATGGTCAGAACTTTGAATGAAGGACCACAGATTCCTCACCTTAGCAAGCTGCTGGGTGGCAAATAAAGACGGTAAATGGCAATGCCTAGAATCTCTCCTAAATATTGAGAAAGAGACATCTTCTCTTAAGACATGGCTATCCCCTATCTCCTTACAACATAAGCTGACTAAAACCCCCCCTCCCTGTCCAGTAAGCAGGAAAGGTTTCCTCTGAACACAAAGCCCTTCCTTTGCCTCCTCCATTTCCCACAGGCGGTGCATTGTCTATATAAGGCAATCATTATTGTCATGTTCCAAGGGTTGCTCATCAGGCTGCAGAACTCACTGGGAATTCTTCCAAGTGTCAACTTTGCTCTTATTTGATCTAATAGAAATCAAGACAAATCAGAAGGAAACACGAAAAACGTACGCCCACACCCAAAACATTTTCTTTCTTTTAATGCAGGATGGATGGGAAAGCATATTGTGAAGGCAACCTGGGGAGGGGGAGTATAATGACCCCCATCCTCTCCCTGAGAAAAGACTCCGGTGGCAGCAGCATTCAAGCTTGAACCACCCTTTCCTTTGCACCCTTGGGGTGCTTCAGCTTGGAACATTTCCAAGAGTTTTAATATCTTCTCTCCTTGGGAATCGCAGAGGAACGTGCTTTGCTGGAAGAATTGGAGAGCCTAGATTTCTCCCACCTCCTCGCAAACCTGAGTCGGCAAAACGTGCCTGGGCGGGCAGGAGGAATGTCTTATACCTCACAACAAGAGCTCACTCATCAGTTATTCGACTGCCTGGTACAAGGTTTCTACAGCATCCTCAGACTCACCAGAGCATCCCCAGCCAAGAGTACCAGGGTGAAGAGTGGTAGCATCCTGTGTTACTCAGCATCTGCAGTCTCGGGCTACATCTGTGTTTCTCAACCTTTGCAGCTTTAAGATGTCTGGACTTCAACTCCCAGAATTCCCCAGACAGCATACCCAGTTCCAGCATGCTGCCTGGGGAATTCTGGGAGTTGAAGTCCAGCTATCTTAATGTTGCCAAAGTTGAGAAACACTGAACTACACAAACTAGGACTTTTTAGTTATGGGGTCCTTGGTGCTCTCCGAGCTTGTTTTCTTGCCGATGTTTCGTTACCAACTAAGTAACATCATCAGGGCAAGTAAGGGAGTGGGATTTGTTCTCGTTTTACACACTAGTGGCTTGCCCTGTCACTGTTTGTGGGAGTGGACTTGGTGGTTCCTTGATTGGGCTGTTGTTTACTGTTAGCTTGTTTGTCTGAGTTGGTAGTTTCTTGACTGGAGTACTGTTTGCTTTTGTAGTTAGGAAACTACATTAATATAATCAGCTGTCCTTGTGATAAAACATACTGGATATGAAGAACTAAAGGCGAATCAAAGTGCTGAGAAAAAGAAATGCAGAGGAATACTACTCAGCAGAGATAGGTTTTCATACAGTCAGATTTCTGCCTTATTAATCTCTATGCTATTAATCTCTATGGCCAAATTTTGAAGCAATGTGTCAGTTTGATAGGGTAACATACCTACCACCAACAGGCACTGCTAGGATTTGTCTGCTGAAAAGGAAGGAGACAGGAACCACAGAGACTCCAGAAACAGACTTCCCTCAAAGCACTCTGGCATTTTTAAAGAATAACAAATGTATTTGTTTACATGAATCAGAAATCACTTCATTGTATTATTCTAAACAGGCATACATATCTATCCTAGCTGGGAGGAAGGTTTGAAGTGTTGAGATTAGCATTAAGGTTGAAATGAAGAAATTATATTCGAGCAGGTTTAACAATTTTTTAGGAGCTCATAGGCACATTTGAAATTTTGTGTATGTTACTAGTGTTTTCCCAAAATGGCTGCCACAATATGCATATCCAATCATAAAACATTCATCAAAAAGTAAACTGACAAATTTACTTCCAAAATCTCATCCCCAAATGGATGCTTTCCACAACCTAATTTATTTTTGCCTTTTTTCTGAGGTGGTTATTATAAAGAAGAATGGGCTATAACCATGCAACATTTTTATTTTCTATCTATAAGGCCTTCTGTAAGTAAAAATAATGCTAAAGCAATTGTGGACACGGTGCAGACACAAGAATTTATGTTAGGACAAATTATGACAAAGATGTCATAACATCATGCAAATGATATGGTTGAGATCTCACAAGACCTCATGATGCAAGCACAGAATTATCATTTTGGTGTCACAGTGGCTTACAATAGATACCTTTAATTTAGTTTTAATTATGTATCTCAATATTGTCAGCCACTCAGAGCAGCCATAATGTATTTAATACATGCTTAGGCCTACAGTCTTAAGAGTAACAAACAACGTGGAATCTCCTCTGACCTGATTCTGCTGGTACTTTACCGCAGCTTCCAAAATTCCCACCCCAAGTACACTGTGGCTGAATAGCAATAGACTTATATACTGCTGCATAGTGCTTTACAGCACTCACTGAGCAATTCACAATGTCAGCATATTGGCCCCAACAATCTGGGTCCTCATTTTACTGACCTCAGAAGGATGGAAGATTGAGTCAACCTTGAGCCAGTCAGGATTGAATTCCAGGCTGTGTCCCCCTATAACCTTCCCGAATGTCCAGAACCATCGAAAGGTTGCCTATCCCTGTGCTTTAAATTTAGAATCTTTCAAAAATTCAAGTCAGGCAAAGCGGAGTAATTGACAGGCATAAAGGAAATTCCAATATAGGAGAATATCTGTAACTCTGGACTGAACTGTGGAATTCTTGGTGCTTTCTGAGCTTGGTTGTTTCATTGAACAAACATTTCATTACTCAAATATGACTTGCATTGATGATGTTACCTAGTTAGGTAATGAAACATCTGAAATCAAACAACCAAGCTCAAAGACCACCAAGAGCTCCACCAAGGAAGTTGACCATAGCATAGCATCTACAGGTAACCACTCTGACAAGGAAATGGTAACACACATACCAACATCATGAGATAAACTCTGTCCCATCAGACATACAGTACATAAGTAAGTCAGAGAGTTTGTTTCATGAGGTCAGTCAGTTCGCTTCCCCTTCTCAAACCCCATTGGAATCCCTAATGATCCAAGGATCCTAAAGCAGAATACAAACCTAAACTGGAAAGTTAATCAATCCACCGAAAGGCATTAACTAAAAAGAAGGGAATAAGGAGAGGCTTGTTGGAGCAATGCTGGAGTCCACTGTGCTTTTTTTCTAAAAAGGCAGATATTTTCCATATATTTACCAGCACTAAAGAAAAAGTCTGTTGGATTTTAATTTTTAATAAATAGCCTCCAACTCCTTTGCAAAGATTAACACAAAATATCCCTCTGTAATAAAACTTTTAGAAGTAAAAAGAAATATCCTTTCCTACTTTCCCCCTTCACTTTGGGAAAATCAAACATACTTCTTATTTCATTACCTAGCTGAGAGTGACCCAATGGATTTTTTGTTTGTTTGTTTTGCACACAAGTCTCTCAACTTCAAGGAGGCATGTTCTGTCCCAGGAGACAGTATGTTTAAAATCCCTAATGTTGGCAAACATCAGAACTTTCATCTTTTCAGAGTAAGGGCACTTTGGGGTGAAGGGCAATGGAAGACCTGGAGAATGACTAGGCTTCCTTTCTCCCTCTTTAACCCTGCACTTCTCCAGAAGTTTATTCATTAAATGGATTCAGCTGGCAGTTCTCCCAAATGGAAAGAACCAGATGAGCAATAGCCAGGGAGTATTAATCCCAACTCCAATCCCTTTTGGAAATCTTTCTCCTCACTAATATTGCTGTTTAAAGGAAATGACTTCATAATGCAATAGCCCTGATCAACCACACTTTCCTCAAAATTAAGAAATCATTTTGACACACAGGAACTGAACTTTATTTTGGTTTGGGTGTCCCTTCACAACACAGGCTGATGTCACAGAATAAGAAAGAAACACACATATATGATATGTATGTCATTTAGTTTATTTGTTCCCCTGACAGAACAATTTCTTTAAGCTATCCAAACAAGAACCTCACTAGGTAAGATCAAAATATCATTTTGTTCAGAATCCTATTTCTCGATCGTGGGCAAACGTTTCTAATCTCCATTAAATAACAACTAGGATTCTTCTTACTGTCTTGTTTTCAGAGGTATACTATTTGTGTGGAGGGGGTATTTATCACATCATCCCTTCCAAATCTATTCACAATCAGATTTTTAAAAAAAAAAAAAGTCAGAGAAATGCTATGCTTTACCTTCTTAATAGCACCCCAGCTCAGACCCACTACTGAAGCCACACAATTCACAGCTCACTTGGACCTGGGTTCTCCTAAATATAATAATACTGTGTCAAGTTGATACCGGTATCTAAGATACCATATATAAATGACAATACGAAAAAGTCAGTTTGCTAGGAGGCAACCTGTGACAATGTTATTGTATACAGGAGACTTCCCCACCTTGGAACAGCCCAGATGCATTGGGTAACAAAACTCCCATCATCCATAACCAATGGCATCGTTGGCTCTGGGGCGGGAGATGTAGTCCAACAGACTCCCGGAATAGCTAAGTTCGGGGAAGGCTAATGTTCATGTTTCCTCCCTTCACGAAAAGCCCGATGCCACTTTCTCCTTCGGCCGCAGCGGGACCCCACAGCCCGGTTCTCTTCCCCGATCGAGAGGAGAGCCTGCCGTTGTGTGCAGACCCGCTGACTCCCAAAAAACGGGGCGTTCCGATCCGGCACAGGAAGCCGGGAAAGCCGGTAACCTCCAAGGAGCTAAAAGCTCAAGGCATGCCCATGGCATCAGACGCCACAAGGGCTGCCCAAACGCCCCCAGACAGTGTCGCAGCAATCCGGATTCGGGGCGCCGAGGCGACGCGCGCTTTGCATCGGGTCCGGCCCTCGGCGGCAAGATAGAAACGGGGCTGGGGGGGACGGGAAGGATAGTCTCCAGACGACTTAACTCGGTGCCCCGGCTCATTCCACCTCCGGGACAAGCGCCGAAGATGCGGGAAGGGGAAAGGAGGAAAAGAGGTGCGAGAAAGCCCAGGAAAACAAGCGGGGGGCGGGGGGGGGGTAACCCACCACCGTTTGCTCAAGGACGGTCGCTTTGCACCGCTACGACGCGATCCGAGACACAAGTCACGTCTCTCCCATAAAATGGGCTACCTACCTTGCAGGGCCCGCGCACGGCAGTCTCCCCGCCTCGGCTTTCACGGAGGGGGCCACTAAATGCTCCAGCGCCGCCGCGCAGACGAAAGCGAGCCTTACATATATATCTATATATACCTCGCGCTCCTCTCCGGCCGGGATAGAAGAGGCCCCGCCTGCTTAGCGTTTTCAGCCAAGCCCCCTGAGCGCCGTTTGCAAGGAGGGCGCATGCGCAGCGGTGGGAGCAAGCGCCTCTTCGGCCCGAAGGCTCCCCCTGGAGTCGCTGCTGGGGGTGACGTCGCCGGGGAGGGCGCGGCCGCGGGCGCCGTCGGTGACTTCGGGACGGGATAAGCAAGAAAGGCGATCCCGTTTGGTGGAGAGGTGGGGCGCGCCCCGTTGACGTTCGGCTTGCTAGCCGGGTCTTGAAAACCTTTCTTGTGAAGAAACCAGCCCAGGAAATTGTGGCTGTTCCCTTTTCCAAGTCAGCGGGATGCTTCGGGTTGCCGTATTTGAACATAGGAAAATAGAGAGCTGCTTAAACGTTTGTAGCGATATGCTACATAATATGCTCAGGAGATACTTGTTGCTTCACACAACTGAGGAGTGAAGATCTCCGCACTGGCTTACTTAAACCATCTGTAAGCTGTTTCTATTTTTAAAAAAGGCGAAATTTAAATACCTAAATGCAAGAAAGAAAACTCGAGGGGGAAGGATTTAAAATTGAGGGGATTGTTTCCACAGTCCATCTTATCCTCTCCCTGAGTAAAGTAGTTTAATCTGATGTGTGGGCAGTCTTGGGAAATGGCCCAGATAGAATTAAGACTTTGGTTCAGGAGAGCATTCCAAAGTCAGAAAACATGCCATATAAAGTAATCCGGTAAAAGCTCGCATGACCCTTATATTTGCAGTGCTTTCCCCAGGGGAGGCAAATAATAGATGCCAGCATACTTCATCACACAAAACCAGGCATACAAGAAACTCCTCCAAAGGGACTCCCAGAAATGAGAATGCATCATATTGCAAAGCTTTGTGCTTTACCTCTCCTGTATATGGTGAAACTTTTTGCCCTACTTGATTCTTCATTGCCCACGTGTGCATTGTTCCAGATCATAAAAGTGGATTTGATCTAATTGTTATCAAGCACCAGATTGTTAAGGGTGTCAAATAAACTATTTTTATCTATTCACCCAGGGTCAAATTTAAAAGGTTCATCATTAGGTGGAGTAAGCTGTCTCCTCTAAATGTATGGGCTTTTGTGTACAGAACAAGCGTACACAATGGCTCTGACAGTTGTACATAACACAAAGCAAGCTCAGGTTTATAGCATGTAAGGTAATTACTTTAAATGGTGCAATTTAAGGGGCATTTCCATGTTGAAAACAATGAGCAAGACAGGACTAGTTCCTTGCGCTAGCAAAACTGAAATGATACATCACCATTTTTGGGATAAAACCACTGAGGAACTTTTGCAGCTTGCGCAGAAATCTAGCTTTGTCCAAAAAGGAAGACTGTTCTCTCTGCCTGTGATGAAGTAGACAACAATTAAACTGGTCCTGAGTTTATAAAGTTTATAAAAGTCCTGAGTTTATAAACACATCTACTCATTACAAGTGGGATTCAATTTTGTGTAGCTCTCAAGGCTCTGAGGTAGGAATTTCCATACAAAAAGTAGAGGTATTAACTAATGAGCTTTTTATTGGCCAATTACCCTAATTGCACCGAATTTACTGAGACAAGTGGGAATATCGTTTTTACAACTCACCCATACCTTCCCAGAGTTTTCTTCACATTTTTTCTTACCAAAGAAAACTTAGGAAAGACAAAAATCACTGAACAGTAATCTCAAAATTATTATTAGCATTAGAAATTCTCAATTTGGAAGGACTCCAAAGCTTTCTAATGAATTTTCAACACCTGAAAATTATAATGCCTGAGCTTCTCTCCAGGAGCCACAACAGTTATACTAGCTTCAGACAATTGTGTTGAGGGTGGATCTCAAACATCTTTTAACTTGTTGAAGCTATGCACTGCTTTGTTTCTAAATTACATCTTTGTTATGATCATTGTCCAATTTAAAGAATGTAAGAAAGCAAACAAAACAGCATGAAAAGCATGTTTGTAAGATCCAGATAAAGCTCAGGAACTATGCAACTCGTCACTGTTCCAATTTTGGCAGTCATTTGATGGACCATGGCACAAATTTTGGTCACATAAAGAATAGCTGCTGTATCTATCTGTAGCTTTGTCTACAAGTTCTAGTGATTGTGGGATTTTGTTTTGCATGCTTATAATTTCTAGGGCAATCCTTTTTTGAAGAGAGAAAAAAAGTTCATTAAAGATTTCATAGTTACATTTATTTGCAGTGTTCAACTTGTTCAACTTGTGTGCCCATAACTATTTCTTTCCACTTACTCTTGTTCTCACAATGAATTAAGGACCTTCTACTGCAGCCATTTTCAATTAGCTCTCCTTTCAAAATCTTCCCCAAGATGAAAAATATGTGTACTGATACCTAAAAGTACAAGAAAAGGATTATCTTTTTCTGTAAAAGGATTATACACTATGTAAGGGTGGTTTTGTGAGGAAAATCTTTAAAGATTTATTTATAGTATAGAAAGTATTTCGTATTTTCACAAATCTTGAAAGGTTACAGGGAAAAGCATTTTAGAGATGCAAATGACCAAAGAAAATAGCAAAAACGTGAAAGTAGTGTACAAAACTATAAAGCAAATAAAATGATCTTTAGTGATCCTGCATATGGAATCAATATGTATGGATTTATGTACACACACACACACACACCAGTTTAATCAATATTACATGAAGGTCATCAGAGGACACCATGGAGGAGTTAAAAGCCAACACAGAGCCAGGAAAAATTACTGGGCCAATGCAACTACACAGCTGAATAAGGCAAATCTCCAGTTGCTTTATTTTCTATTTAAGGCAAAATGCTGTGATTCACAATTCCCAGAATGAACTGTCATGTTAGAAAGAAGATGACAAAGCAGACACTCTCCAGATTTCTTACCTTGTAAACAATAACGGTTTGTTGAGAAGCCAGTTCTTTCCAAGGAAGATCTCCAAAATATTGTCTAATACTGTATTTATTAAATATCCATAGATTTTTGTAGTAGGCAAGAATCTATGATCTTGCTGCATTTGCTTCAATCTAACTAAACAAACAAGAAGGCAAGAAGACCAAGATGGCTGAGAACCGGGTTTACCTTTGATTTTTTCAACCATGAAATGCTGCCAAGTGTGTAGGAGTAAACTGCTAAATTTATTCATTTTTTAATCCTACCATTCTTCTAAAGTGATTGTGATGTATTTTTTTCTTCCAACAATATCCTCCCCCAAACCTTGTGTAGAAATTTAGTCTATTCCAGAGTAAATCTTATCTTGATCTGCATAGCATGGTTAAGTCATACTGTAATGTGTTACATTTTGCCTTAATACAATGTGTAATTTAGCTGTTAGGTATTATAAATCATGGTTTCTGGTTTAGTGTTCTGAGAATCAAGCTGATATGACTGGGTTTATACATCATGCTAAACAGTTTAGGTTTGTTGAATTAACCACAATTATCTGGGTTCATACAATAGAGCATAATAGCAGGGCTGACACAATCTAAAGCAAGCAAACTTAGTTGCATGGTGTATGAATTTGACTAACTAGTTTATAGTGCAGTGTGTAAACTTATTGACAAAGGAGTTAATATTTGAATCCAATTCTAAGTGGCCTAAATCTTGCTTTAATTATTAGTTTAATAGTTCTCTCAAACTTCTAGCAATGAGCTTTCCATTCTCCCAACTGCTGCCCACCACTCATCTTGCCAAAAGAAATCCCCTTTTCTGGTCTGTTCAAAACAGACTAAGTTTTCTTTCTAAAGGAGATGTGTGAGGGACACAGTGGCTCAGTGTGGCTCTCCAGATTCCACCATACTAGATTTCAAGCTCTGAAATCCTGAATGCTGCTGTTAGAAATATTTATCAAACACATACACACATACATACATACATACATACATACATACATACATACATACATTGGTAGCCCATCTTACCACAGGATAAATATCAAATTAATTTGACCTGCATGTTCACTGTAATGCTAAATTAGTGACTTGTGGGATCTTTTATGGTGGGCAATTTATTTAAAATTATTATGCAAAAACTGATGATTTTGAAAGTAAATCTCAGTGCTACCACAAAGGAAAGGCTAAGCATCAGACTGTTTTGCCTATCTACATGCAGAAAGAAGAAAATGCATAATTCAGATGTTGGCCAGTAGTTCAAATACATCCTTTTCTAGTCTTAACAGTCCCTCTGCATTATATGATACTGTAGTGTAATAAGTCCCCATTTGGTTATGTTTTTAAGGATGTTCTCTCAATTATTTTGTTTATTTATTTGCAAAGGGCTGGTTTTTCATAAGCCTGCTGAGATCTCCTCTTTTGAGCATGCACAATCTTCATAGAATGTACAGTTTTTTAAACAATAGTACTTTTTAAAATGTGTTTGAAAAGAATGGATCTGATAAATTAGGCTCATACGTATGTTAAAAAACAGAAGAGAGGTAGTTATGCTTATAACTCAGTTTAACTTGGTACTTTTCCTGTAAACAAAAATGTAGGGATTGAAATGAAATGAAATGTAGAGAATTGAAATATTTAGGGATTGAAATGAAATGGAATGTAGAGAATCAAAATATTTAGATACCTAAACTAGTTATATCAAGTCTACTTTCAGAACATAGGTCAGAGGTTAGCCAGTGTGGATGGAGTACATGGGCTTCTAAATTACAAAGGGAATTATAATATTTTTTTTCCAGTTTTCTTTGTTGGAAAGGAATTATTTCATTTATCAAAAAGCTATTGCTTTTATAGCAACAGTAAAATTGTGCTGACATGTTTTGCTCTTCCATGTATTCTTACATTCACTGTATATAATTCATGGCCACCCTGCACACTACATACTACTCTTTTGCAACAGTCCTTCATAACTTGTTTGATTTCCAGGTGACAAGTAACTCCTTTGTTTTAAAAACTTCAAAGCTTCTACTCTCTGCAAACTACCCTTGATACCCAGGCTTCTTTGTTGGCATTCAAGCTGTTTGACTATTAGGTTCAAAGGACAGAAGA